TTTTTCAACTGGAATCTCAGCAATATTATATAATTTTTTATGATGAACTACAAAACGAATCGCTTACGGTATTGTGAAAAATTATGAGAACATTCTTGTATAAAAAGTAATTAACTAATGGTTTTAGGTTAGTTTACCAACTTTACTTCTGATTTATATTACTTGTGTTTCAGACAAAACGTGACAAAATTTATAATCTGCACACGCAAAGTTAACAGATATCAACTGTAAATTATCTGAGACAATTCTCAAATAACTGAATCACAAAAAGTCTTAGTGTAAATATTTTTTTAATTTGTCAGATAACTACTTCATGAAGAAACACAGTTCCGGAATACTTTTCAATGCCTTTGTGAGTTGATATTATTTCTCATGCTTGCATACCTTAGAGTTTACTACGCGATTTTATCAGTCAACATAATTCTCTACTTTGTAACTCCTCTTATCCACGTTTTTAAAAATTCTATTACTTTGACTTGATGTACTTTTACTGAAACTTATAAATTGACCCACTGGTTTACCTTTCTGGTCGTTTTACAATTTTCACAGCATCCAAAGTCTCTATACCACTTTTTTCATAATTTGGTTGGTTGTGGCTAGCAGGGTGCGAGCTTCATCCTATCTGGGACTCGTCAGCTGGACGTGCCTGCACCCCAGTGAGTAATGTTGTACCCACTGTGACTCGAACCTCGTACCCATCGCTTCAGACACCAAGGCGTTATCCACTATGCCACGGAGTAACGACGGCTGCTTCTTGTACAACAGGTATTAGTCATTACTATTTATTGACATACTTGTTATCCTACGTTGTTTTATTCGGGCAATATCGAGGCATTCGCATAGGACTCCATATGCCAATAGAGGTTAGGCAATTCGGTCCAACAAAACAACGGAGAATAACAAGTATGTCAATAAATAGTAATACATTTTCTTCGTGTTTAGAAATTGCAGATATTCTGGTCTACATTTGCATATGTTAAATTTTTGAAATCAGTTAGCACTAGAAAGTAAATAGGTGTTTATAATATATCATTACGTTGCGTTTAGTGTCATCAGTCTTCTTATTCCGTTTTCTCACTTGTTAAAATTTACTAGATATGACGTTTGAATTGACATAAATTTGGTTGGAGTTTGTAGAGGCAGAAAATATTTCAGTAACAAGCGTAAGGTTTTCTTCCATGTGCAGTTGAATGACATCCATGATCACTGTGAGATATATTCCAGTGAGTTAAGAAGGTATATCAAATAATGCCATGAATTTTTCTGATAAGTTTCACCATTTGATGATAATCATGAATTCAAAATTATCCTTCACAGTGTGTTTCAATAATTTCCAACGAACTACTTTTAACTTTTTTGACAGCCATCTGCCAGTATGTGACACAGTCAATTTCCACTGGCAAAATTATATATATATATATATATATATATATATATATATATATATATATATATATATATATATATTCACTTTGGACTTCCTATATGCAGTCCATAGATCTCCATTTGATCTTGCCCTCGTATTGCCCATTTTCAAGCTTTGCTAAAACAGTAAACACATTTTTTTCATATTACTATTTCATCTTAAGTATCTTTTTCTTGGATCTAATTTTCTCATTGATCTGACCGTTTTTTCTCATAAATCGTTTCTATAACCTATTTACCATTTGAACAAACAAACATAACATAGACTAATGTATGACAGAAGCAATAGGCGGAGTCAATAAAGTAATTGAAGGAGCTAGGCTTCATTTTTCAAGGTGATCTAAGCACCTAAATTCACCAGTACATTAATACCATGACTATGTGGTTAACCGAATCCACATAGAAACACATTTCCACTCCAACAAGCCCTCAATATATCAAACTCCTCGAAAAATGCAACTATGAAGTGACTAGTACATCTATTCTAACCATTTAAGTAGGAAGTTGTAAAGCATAGCCCAAAAGATACTCTTCAAGTAATTGAGAAAATAATAGGTCTGAATGTTGATAATAAGTTTATGGTATCTATAGACTTATCATTCAGTCAGTTATGGGTCCTTTATGGAAACAGTTAGTTTCGTATGCAATGAACTGATAATGCAAAGTATAGAGATCGGAATCTCCGCATCAGCCTTGAAAAACCAGCTCTTTAAATGTTCAGTGAGCGTACATTTCCCCCTCATTATTAAGTTCTGTGGACAGTCGTTTGGTATTTCTATGGGATCACCTTTAAATCCATTTCTAGCACACTGCTTCTCAGTGGAGTTAGAAAGTGACTTTTTGGAAGGAATATTGGGTAAGGTAGGATTTTAATGCTGTTAAGTGAGTGACACATTCCTCATTACGAAGAATGAAAACGATGCTTAATTCCATCTATCTAGCAATCGACTTGGTCATCGAGACGTAATGCTAAGACACTATCACTTTTTCAGTGTCCTGTTGACATGAAAGATGGATGGGACGAAAATAAGGACCGCATACCGAAAACCCATATAATCTAGTCAGTGTTCTCATTTTTTGAGTTTCGTGCATTCGCAAGACAAACAAATTTAATTAAATTTTGGTTTTAGTGAGGGAGATTTATCTTCACAGATGGCGCTTTCAGTAGTGAGCTCAAAGTTATCTGTGATCTATTCAGTAGTAATGGATTTCCTGACGAATTACTAGCCGAACGAGTGAATGAATTTGTGTGATAAAAATATTAGCGTGTCAGCTTATATGTTTCTACAATTACGGAGTCGGTGTGACATTATCAATGGAACCATGACAAAGAGTTTTCTTAATGCTATGGAGAGAATGTTCGGTGAAGTTTTCCCAAATATCTTATCATCAGTAGATACTGACTTCGCAAATTGAAATCAGACTGGCCCATTTCATCTTGATGTGCGGCTACAGGTTAAACTGCTCATTTGTGACAAGAGATCAATCCAGACAAGCCAAGTCTGTGTACTCAAAACAAAATACGCACAGCATTTTTCATTGCCTTGATCACCTGGATAAGTTGTCTAGACGAAGATGACTTTACCCTGATTGATCAATGGGGGGTAACCAACTTTATATTTTCTAGTTCTGCTTGTTGATCGAATTCTATCGGTCATTTTGCAATGTGGTCACCAAATTGGGAGACACCGTCGTTACGCCTTGTGACAAATATTAGTTGGGTGGAGGCAGTTGGGCTGCCGCCGGTACATGCCAATGATAACGTCTCTGTCTTCAGCACTGAGTGATATGAGTTCGGACCTCAGGTGGGATATCAGTTCCGTCAAGATTCTAGACACAACTTGGTGGTGAGTGCTGAAAAACATGAAAGCTAGGTCCAGGGCTTAATGCCGATTGTAAATGACTATTTTCCTTATTCATTTCACTATCTATTACCAGTGTTATTCACATTTTCTTGTTATTACTATTGTTACAGGTTTAACTATATTGTTCCCTCTCACTTTTTCTGCAAATATTCTTAATTACTATCAGCATTTGTCAACATGACATATTCATTCATTCTATCTTTCTGTTAGTCACTATTATACAAGCTGTCAATTATGTAACAATCTGCTTAACGAATTTACTGTGAACTTATTGTTTCCCCTTGAATTTTGTTGAGACTATCTGAGATACTCGTGGGTTAGCACTGGTGTTATTGATATGGAGCGATAACTGAACGTACAATGAAAACCTGGTTCGGAGTATTATTCAGACCTGAGGTCTCTGAATTACCGACCCTGCAATCCACCGACTCAGCTAACAGACTAAAAACCATACTCTTAATACATTGAGATTGATGTTGTGTCGTTAACTAGTTTTTCAGCAGCAGGTTGGTATGTCATTTTGTCTTCTGAAAATGTTATTTCTTAATATGGAGTCACTGATCAAGAAGTGAATAAAAAGAGATATTTTTGACTACGGTTATTTTTTCCTAAAAGATAACTTTCATATGAATACTTAACGTCAGCTAAACTTCACTTTCCGAATAACAGTTTTGATCTATGCTAATCTATTCCACAACATTTGCCAACCTTGATTAGAAAAATGAACTTACTTTTATCTGACTGTAATATTATATAACTTTTAATTCATTATTATATACTTTTAGCTTTGAATTGAATTGAATTCACCCGAATCTTATCCCTAAAGCATCTGTATCATTTTCTTACCTATCGAATATTACTAGAATCACTTCTAAATAATTAATGATTTAGATGTTAGCATATTTTGTGTAATACTTGAAAGTAAATGATCATGAACACACAATAATTTTTATATTGTTAAGTTACTCATGATAATGAAATGTAAGGAATATAGCTGAAAGTAGATGGGAGATGACAAATGAGAGCGTGTTTGTGTAAATGCACAAAAGGCTTGACAAAAATAGTCTAGTAAAACACAGCGGATCAAGCTGTTGAAATGTATGGGGAGAAAAATGAAGAAATTTGATAAACTTAAGATTAAAATGCAAGGGATGAAGCAATATGTACAAGAAGTTAGGAAGTTTAAAACTCGAGTAACTGGCATATGTCTAGGAATTTGATTATTCGGAAACAAGACCAGGATGGTAGTAAAGGCTGTACCTATTTCTTTCGTATACATAATTCAGGCTGTTTAAGTCAACTGGCTACAACTCCTGCTGTTTGAGGTATTTGGTATCCGGTAGTTTTTGACGAGTTGACAGAGATTCGGTTTATGATGAAAATTAATTTATTCTTTTTAACTGGACTATCTCTTTAAACTAGGTGAATCAACATCAAGCTATTTACATTTTTCACTACTACTTTCGTGCTTTTTCTGAAACTCGGAGAACTATATTCAGATGGATATACTACTACTTTATTATTATCGTCTTTTTATCATCATCATTTATTTTTTCTCCATGTTAAAGGTTGGAAACTTTCTTGATTTAACTCCAGATAGGTGAAATCGGAAAATACATTGTTTCGACCGTTAAATAGTTTTTCCTTCTAGGCCCGTTTATTCGGTTCCATCTTACACTTCCCTTTTAATATTTTTTCATATGTATTGATGTTTATCTCTGCACAAATAAACTGTCATCTAGAAGTGATATTCTGTGATAAACTTATTCTTAAGTATTCTACAAAAGCAAGATCCATTAAAGGTATTTACTTAGGTAATACATTTCAGACTCAGTCCAAGGCCTACTTGTTAACATTTTTGAATAGATATTTCTTTCACTAATATAACGGATTTTAGTGTGTAGACTTATTGTTATTTAAAGGGTACTCTAATACTTAAAGACGGACGAATATTTGAAAGAACATTTTATGAAGATCGGTTTATCGATACAAGTAGTGATTCGATACCACAAAGTGTTGATCAACCAAGTCTTGAGAGACTGGATACTCGTGTACCCCTTGTTACAGGTCAGTTGATAAGTAGTGCATTAACTTAACAATAAGTTTCTAGTATTCTGTAGATTTGTTGTTGTTTTTTAAATTATACTTTCATTATGAAAGCATACTATTACTCTCTAGACATTTGCTACGGATATATGAAACTAACAAGCTAAAACAGTCTACAACTTATTTCAAAGTCAAGTCTACTGAGCTTTTGAACTCCGAAAAAAGATGTGTGTGATGACGTTTAAAAACATTTTTTAAAATCTTAGCACTCAAATATTTTTGTTTTAAAATCAATGGCCGCTTTTTATGATGTACATTGGTTGGTTCCTATTTTGAATGGTCAAATAAGTAGCTCATATACAATAGTAAACAATTAACTTTGAAATAAACACTTACTTCACAACTAGATAGTAATTAACCGGAATTTGAGATAAGACCAATGATCTAAGTTAGGTGGTACCGCAGCTCACTGAGTTACGGTGTTAGATGTTAGGAGTCAATCAGTAGGGAATAAGTCTTAATTTCATCATTGTTGGAACACATCAATGAAATGCAATGTTTACTGAATAGATAGAACTCGGTGGTTACTAAATATTCTCCTAGCTCAGTTGTGCACAGCAATGCAATTACGAATTTTCTGGTATCACTAAACTCTTATGGTATTCATAAGATGGTTACATGAAAACAACCGCACATGTCTCGTTTACGATTCTGTTCGTTGTGAATAAGTTACCTGGGCCCGATGATCAAAAAGTAATCATACGAAAAACAGGTGATCCCACTGTCATCCAACTAAAACGTAGATGCCCTAGAATTCCCTGAATGACAAGTGGTGGAGATTGCGATACCTATCAATTACATTCTTAACCTAACATTCACTCGACAGGAGTAACCTAGTTAAGGTGTAGAAATTTATAATGCTAGACAACGAATATACTACGCCGGGACTGAACAAGTAAAAATACACTTTATACAACGAATCATACTAACTCGGTGCCCAGGTTTTTCAAACCATGCAGTTCATTGTTGGTCAGGATACCTTCAAGATTTTTAAAATATAATGGTATCCATAGATAAGAAATCAAGGATTATTTTAATGGAATAAGAGAATTTATTTTTGCTTATTTCCTAGTCATCTCACTCAATTTAGCAGTATCAACTCGTCAACTAGTCTTTCTACTTATAGCAAATCAATACACATGGCGTAATGTAACTTATATATAAAAAAATTGAATGAAGAAAATGGATAGCTACACAGTTAATTACTTCCCATTTGCATGAGTTTTAACCTAGGGCCATTTATAAAATATAGTGCCAAGTTCAACTGAGTAGTTATTCTGCGGTGTAGAATTCAACAGTTTGTAAGTTATACTGGTCAAAAAACGGTAATACGGGACTCTTTCAGCGCAATTAATGCAACAGTTCTGTTGTCTGTAGCAGTTGATGAATACACAATTTGTTACTGATAACCAGACATTTCCAAGTGACAACCTACATTATATAATCAGTTTTAACTATGTGTGTTCAAAACCCAACCTATACTGCAATCATTTCCTTTTACTAACTTATAAAGTATTTTAAAGTATATTCACAAATGACTGTTATTCGCATCCACTATTCTGCTTAAGTGATCAGTCTCCAGGAAGTTAGAGGGCAGAAAAATGCATCTAGGAGGATATGATCATAAGTGTCTGTCAAAGATGCATGCCTAGTGACTGTGCCTCTGGACTATGAAAAAAGTATGCGCTGCCTGGTTTAGGTACAAAAGATAAATGGAATCAATTTTTCAAGAATTAAGTTGATCTCTTATAAATGTATCACACAGTGAAACTATTATTTCCTGAATTGTGTTCTACCTTAGAAAGAAATAAAAGATTAAATTTCGTCTAAGTCTTACTACCAAATTTCTTTCATCTCATAATATTCATGTCTGTCAGTGTCATTAGCTTTATTTTACTGTTTTATGTACTGACTACATATTTTTAAATTTTAATAAAAATTCGATAGATCTACTGAAGAGGCTGTAACTTGTATAGCGAAAAGTTCAGTAGAAACATGCTGAGATTATGACAAAGTGTACTCTAATCACTATCAGCATGAATTATTAAGTCACTTTTTTATGTTTAATTCGCTTATCACCAAATATACAGATCCATGAGATAAATAAATTTGTCATCCTAATTTGTCTAGTTGTTCTTGTATGTGTGACAGCGACTACTTTCGTGTCCATATTGATATATATTTGTCTAAGTATACGTGGTTGAATTTCTTAGATGAGGCCCACCGTTTGTGTTACATATCTGTCTAAGTTCTGGATATCATGCCAATCTGAAGTGAAAATTAGTGGCCTTGTTCTCCATAAAAAGATCCTGAATTACAAGTTCCACTTAGTTCGACGTGCGATAGTTACTAATCAGTCCGGTTTCTAAACACTTCTGAACGCTTTATCGATGGTCTTCGTGTGGAATTTAGTTCCGACTATGTATGTTTGTTCCAGCACTTTTTACATTGTAAAAATTCCCACCAAACTACCGTGCTAGAGTCAGGTGTCAGTATTCCACTTTTGTCTGAGCTATTGATTCATTTCGAGCGAAACCTCTTCATCCATTCTGCTACAAACATAATCGACCTAAAATTTACTGACCTTTTTACTCATGAGCTAATTTCCAGAAATTTGTATCGATTCGATACTTTTATTGTTTTCATACTACTGATACTACTGAGTAGTTTTACTTTCGAAACATTTCCTCATGATATAACAACAACTAACTTGCAGTTTATATATCAAAGTTGTACAACTTTCTTCATTTCAGAATATATGACTGATCCTACGGAGGAAGATAATTTCAAGGACACATCAGACAGTAACTTGCTAGAAAGTTACCTAAAGCCGCATATATCACCATTAGATTATAACACTTCCGAATTCCAAAAAGTAATTGTTCATTTATCCATTTAATATCCATTTATTGCAGAGGTGAAATAAACGTTGCACAACTTGTGTCTATCTTAGCTGTAATTTTTTCTTTCGTTTTGTTGTAACAAGCATTCAAATCATCTTTAGGTAGTTCAATAGCGAATGCAAATTGAGTGACAGTAAACAGTTGTGACATTATTTCATCGAAGGAGTGGAATTAAAAAATACAAAACAATTTAACTTCAGTAGCTTCATGTGTTGTGTTTATCAAGAAACCTGACGTGGTCTTAGATTTGATTTTAGCATATTTATTGGCGTTGTATTTGAGTCACCAGGAACAGAATACTAAAAACCCTAGACAAAAGTTTGACTGAAATGCGGTAAATTTATCAGAAGTATAGGAGTAAAACTTGAACACTGTTGTAGATTGCAATTCCATTTTAATCTGTTTATTAAATGTCACACAGTAAAACAGTATTGTTTACCAGTAAATGAGACTATTTCACTATGTGATACGTTTAATAAGTAGAATAAAGGGGAATTACAAATTTAATAATTTTGATTTACGCTGTAATGGATATTTTATGTTTTGTATTCTTAATTGTGCCCTCTATATTTTATTGTTTTCATTCACTTTATACGTGCTATTCAGTCTATGATAATATATTAGTTTCAGAGGACTACCATACAACAGTTCGGAGAATCAGGATTGTTATGGTTAGTCAACGAATGCTAACCCTCTCCAAATATCTATCAAGTGTAGACTGACTAATGTAAATAATACAGATAAGCGGTAAACTGATAAAAAACAATTCTCATTGACTATTCTGCTTTTGTTGCCATTATGTCTGAGCTTAAAATGGTATATCTTATTAAACTCAGATCTTAAAAACAACTCAAGCAAAATTTATTTTAGGTGATAAAGCAAAACAATCTAGTCATTTTATTGTGCAAGTATTTGGTGGTAAGAATATTTAGGATACATATGAATTCTCCTCAAAATCCTTCTACTTCTCGTCTATTACTCTGTTGCACTGGACTTCAGAAGTTAGCATTTACAAGCTGCTTATTGATACATCATACTTCTCGTTTAAGTACTTCCTTGTGAAGTTCTAATGCACTGATGACGTTTAGCATAACACTGGAACGTTTGTCAACTAAAACCCTAGTTCAGAGAGCAACCGATTTTAAAAACCCTTACTCTGAGCTATAAACATTCATCAGAACAAAGTATTTTGTTTTAATTCATAGAAAAAGTCTGTGAAGTTACTAATAAGGCTCAGAACAAACTCCATGTTGTTACTGTGTTTAGGAAGGCTTAGCACTGTTGTTGCATACTGCTGAGGATTTTCAAAACCCATTAAGTTCTATTCGAAAAATATCTGATTTTCAATGGTTATTCATTTTCTACCATAGTACCAGGAAATATAATATCTTCCTTAAAATGTGCAACCTATCAGTAAAGTAAAAAAGGAATACCTATGTATCTTGGAAACAAGGAATAATACTCCTTGAGAAAACTGGATGATTGGTAACTGCAACACAAATTACTTAAAAACGTTTATTTAATAAGGTTGGTAGGTATCATGTTCTCCTTCTGTTGTCTTTTTTGAAGGCCTGTGTGACAAGATAATCCGAGAACAAAATTTCTAACTTTTCTCAAATACTCAATTAATAACTTTATAGTAATTTAAACATTTAAAACAATGAGTCGATAAGTATAACTTATTAACCACACTACTCACTTACATGATAGTATCGACAATGTCAAAGTATTCGGTGCAGAAATCTTGGCATTTCGGAAGAAATGGAAACTTAGCAGAAATTCAGCAATTCGTAACTTCCCAGTACTGCTTTTGTGTAGAGAAATCATCCAACAGGAAATGTCAAAGCTTGAAATTGTTGTGCTTGTTAATAAAGCAGATAGTTTGATGAAGTTGGTAGTTTGCACTGACTTAGATGGCTACGAAATGTGCATCACAGTCTGAACGGCTGGATAACTCAAAGTGCAATATTAACCGAATTCAGATGACGTTGGAAAAAGTTAGGTATTACTGAATCGAAACATGATACCGGTCTATGAAATTACTGACCGTTAATCTAGTATATTGCCATCCGGATGTAAGGAATGAATATCTATCAGATTTATTTACTTCTATTTTCAGACATTAAAAATGTTCCCCCCTTCATTTATTCTTCCTTTTCGCACTTCTGCCATATTTTCCACGGAAATCTGAATGTTGACTGAATGTTTCTATTCACACTGATAGAACGCATGCCAGTTTGAAGTGATGGCTTGTTTGGGAGGCTTCATAATATTTATTCTACCTTTTTTGTGGTTGAATAAAGGAAATTCAAGTAGCTATACATCAAACATGTTGACTGTAAATTAACTTGTACATTCTAGGTGCCGTACTCTGGAGAAATGTTTACGAACGTATTTTCATTTTTTTGTTTTGACACAACCAACCTAGATACAGAATGTTATAACTACTTATTTGGCTCCATTACGCAGTATATATAGATTTTACGGTAAACTTGGTATGACTCAGTTACCGGATAATACAATCATTCTCCGTTATGTTCAGTTCTGTCAGTTTCTGAAAGACTGTAAACTTCACCAGCATACAAGTTTAGCTGCTTTAGATAGAATAATTGGTAAGTAGCATTCGTTATACTTTTGATAATGACTTCACTTTCAAATAGTTGTGTCTAAATGTGTGAAGAAAAAATTAAACAAGTGATTATTGATGTTGGATGATGACTTAAGATGAAGTGAAAATGTGGGTCACCTCAGGACTAGGACCAGATTTTCATTTCACCTTGAATAATCACTCAGTATCAGTAAAACAAATTTGCGAAATCATGGCTTAGATAGTCAAACCGATGAAAAAATAATTCTCAAGTGTATATAGTCGCCTACATTCAAACTAATCAAATCAATAGTTTAACATTTAAAGACGGAATGGTTATTTTTTAGACTGTCTGGGATATTTGTGGTTTCGTAAACTATTATTATTATTACTATGGAGTTATGATAAAAAGTAAGTTAAAAACCTGATTTTTTTTAGCAGAAATTGAACTGGTGGCCCCACCAGCTGTTAACCATGTCGTAGCTTTGCTTTAATCCCAAATGGTCTTATCCAAAAGGATCTGTTTATTTATCTGGATCCAATTGGTTGCGTTCATTTCTTTCAGACCTATAGATTTTCTAAGATAATATGAACTCTGAATGTACAACATATTTGCGCTACACGAATAAATCACAAGTATTTTTTACTAAACATAATTTAAGATTTACCAGGTATCCGCAAATGTTTTTAAGGTTTTAAGTCAATATAACCTTCTGTTTTTAACTTGAATCAAAGTTTACTGATGTCATTGTATAATGAGGTGGTATTCAAAAGACTAATTTTAGTTTAGTATAGACGAGATAGACTAAATGCCTTGAATGTATGCTTTTTTCTTGATATGGTTCATTTTCATAGGTAAAAACTTGACATTAACCTTCATTATAGATTTCAGATTGGTATTCATCTCGAACTGACATTAGCTGACGAAACAGTGGGAACCTGAGGAGGAATCCCATACTTGGAAGAAACAGCTGTCCAATCCTCCCAGGTTTCCAATGTTTCTACAACTGATGTCCAACCACGATGAATGCCAACCTAAAATCAGTAAATAACCCCCCACAAACTTCAAGACCTCCATTATAACTGTACACCCATATTATATTGAGAGTATGATGCTTTTTTATTGTGTATTTTTGTGAATCTGTTGAAAATCAGTTGTCTAACACTCAGTGACTTAAATTCGAAATTTCTACCAATGATCAATGTGTAACTTCTCCGTTCACTGTTTGGCAAAGGCGCTTAGAAATCTTGTGAATGATTTTCGGCCTATAGTAACAACAACAACATAGCTATCCGTAGACTTACTTGCATGTATATGAAGCACAGTTGTTACGGGAAAAATCCATAGAAACGTCTACCATTGTTTCCCTGACATTGATTACACCTACTGTAACTAATATTTGAGAAATGTTGAGTTTAAGCATCAGGTTACTACTTGGTAAAGTTCTCAACCCTTCTAAAATAAACCATCTGCGACTATTTTTACCACAGCCTCGTGGTTGTTAAGCTTTGAGAGCAACAGACTCTAAGATAAGGTCTGTGAGGAAGAAACTTACTGGAGTTTGTTGAAAGTTGCATATTACGAGAGCAATAGAGCCTATTCCATGGTTAGCACTGGTAGTTTGAACAAGTGCTCAGAGCTTAATGATTTCTAACTGGTATTTTTGACTAAACAATATTTATTTACTCCCAGTTACAGCTTCTTTATTTACATCCATTTTTCAACCTGCTGATGAAGATAACATGAAACATTTTACATTTAAATAAGCTTTTTGTTTAACAACCTAAATTAAGCTGAAACTATGGTGTTCTATATTGTGCTTCTTCATCTTTAAAAGCCATATCGTTTGGATCTGAAGACAGTGATGAAACAAGTGTTCAAAATCCTGAAAAACTGATCTCGTTTGGTTCATTTGTAAATATTGTCGTTATATTAGCTTGTAACCTCTACACACAAGAAGAATTTTATCTGGCTGAAAAGAGCAATAAGAGGTAAATAATATTTTTTACGATAATACAATGCATAAAATTTGTTTCCAATAACTTAATTCCATATGATGTCGGATTAGTGAATTGAAGACTTCTGTAAGGCTACTGCAGAATGGTGACTGAGTGGCATACAATACTGCTGTAGGTACTCATAAGCGCTGCGCACAAATACACGTCATGTTAACAAGATATGAAACCTTCATACTCCTTAATCCAAACTGTTATCTTCTGCTTACTCATTCACCCGATAATATTGAATACTTTCAACACTAAACAATTGACAATATTAGGCAACTTATCCTCACACTATAGTAGTGTGTCATTACAACATTCGACCTATCACAATGAAATTTATGTCTTACCACATCTTTGAAAACATTTATTGACCAAGTTACTGATGAAAACCACTTGGAAACTTGTTCATGATCTGCTGCCTTCCAGTGAAAACCAAAGCACAAAGGTTTTCAAATAGAAAATTCAGACAACAAGGTGTATCATGTTATTGAGGATGATTAGAACTTATTAATCCCAAAACTGCTTAACGTACTGGAAGTTACTTTTTTTAATGCAGGGAGAATTATATAATTTGAAATCGAGGACTCATAACAGTAATTTATAAACGACCGAATTCGCTTCCATTCTATTACCAGCTGCACTAACTACACCTTAATCATTCTTTCAAGTTGACTGCTTAACCTATCCAACGGACTATGAAGAGTAAGTATATTCTTGAACTCAGCTACCTAGATTTCACCGTTTTACGTTGTTGAATGTTGACATCGTAATATTTGAAATAAAATGGATTAATTACATAGGCGTGTCGATTCACATATATGGGGATTTCATCAATCTTACGATGGATTGTTAAAGTCGATTTCATTTGACGTTTTACTGAAACCCTTGATGAAATAGCCAGAATATTTTGCATTACATTCATGTATTTGACATATCACACAATGGCACAGTATTATTTACTTGATGACATTTCGACCGGAAATTACTGCTCATTATCGTGTCGAAGTGATCACACAACTACCAACGTCTGGTCTCCATGGTTCTGGCACCTGGTTATCTTTTTCACCATTTCTATTATATATCTTAGATGTTGATTCGATGAACAAAAATTCGATAGTCAACTGATTTCTTCACATAACTATATTTGGCTTTATTTCAGTTGATTAACTCCATCTTGTTATATCATTGTTTGTCAGAACATGCATTCCAATAGCTGATATAAAAGTTAAAGTTGACCAATGTCACAAAATACAATTCTATTTCAGTTGATTTATTAGGTGTATCACAGTAAAAAAGTATTATTTACTGAGTAGCGTTTCGGACACCGTTCATTTCCAGTATGCTTACCAGGTAACTCTACAAAGCTGTGACATTGTTCTGATTCCCTCTTCTTCTTTATGATAAGAGTAATAGAATTTTCCATTTATCTGGGAGAGGTACAGAATCATTACTGTTGAATGTATTTGGAATCGATTCGACAAACAAAGATTCATTTATCAAGTTCTCTCCATCAAACTAAGTTTTTAGTACTACTACTCTGTCCCTTACTGTTGTTTGATTCTGTATGATCACAGGCATGACTATAACCGAGCTTTCTTCTAGATATCTTATTTTATTAAGGACTACCAATCTTGATTAAACCCTATATGAGGAAGATGTCCAACGAATTTTATCTACACATTGACGAAGTGATCATGGGAAGCCCACTTGTTCTGATATTTACTGATATATTGGTGTCAAACCTAGAGGGGGACTGAGTCAAACCGGCTATTGACGACAATTTATTTTACGTGAGGTGTGTGGACGAGATATTTATGATTTGCAAAGATATGAACCGTGTTTCGGAGTTGTTTCAGATATTGAACAATACATATACTAACATTAATTCCACAGTTGACTATATGCATTAAAATCTCAAAAACTTTCTTGATTTATGGACCAAAAGATGGAACGACGGTACAAGTGAGAAAAGCATCTAACCTAAAGATACATGGACTGAACAATGTCTAAACTACAACAGCTTTTCCCCCATGAAATATGAAAGTGGACTAGCTGGAACGTAGTTCAACAAAGTTAAAAACATTTGCTCAGAAGATAAAGTGAACGATGAGCTAGTTCTTATTGAGATGCATCTGTCTGATTATGCTTATGTGAAAAGTTTTAAAAAGTATTCCAAATTATGTGCAAAGAGAAAGTATCCAGCTACTTCTGAAAAAAGCCGGTGTTTATTCAGTCGACATAATAAGAACAACATCCAAGGTCAATAAAAATACAACTTAAACGTCTTTTTAATATTCGAGTATGGTTCACTTCTAGATGAAGTTTGTGCTGAAAAGATGTCACTAAGCCTAGTGATGAAACCTTCACGACAAAATATTAAAGCTCAGAAAACACTGAACCATCATCTTCATCCTGAGCTACAAATCTTTGCCATCATTTCAATAAGGACATAATATTTCAAAAAGGCTAAGCAGAAGGTAATGAGCCTTTCTTGGTATAACTTATCCGGTCTTGAAATTGGTTCTTTTATGTTACATTTGAGGGGCCATGCATCAATTTAAAATGGACAGGTACCCATTCAATGACAATTCCATTTGTATTTGGGAACTCACGTGTACTTTTCAAAACAAGTACACTGGAATGACAGAAATATGATCCTGTATTTGCTTTTTTGTACATATCGCAAAGAACTGTTCAAAATCGCTCACAAGTTCACTGTTCCTGCTTCCTATTGCTTAAACCCAAGAAACTTCCATTCAATCTCCTATAAATGAACAAACTTTATTATAATTATTCGCATTGTTACCATTTCTCTCAGTGTATGCGGTTACTTTTTTCAAACTCAAAAGTATGTTTCTCATTTTATCTCATGCCACTTCTACATTTACTCGAGACTGTTTTCACCCGAGGAGAGTTCGTGAAATAGAAATATCCTCAACTTATTCGACAAATTTTGTTCTTCTTGCTGTGATGAATTTTGATTTAGGTTAAAATTTATCATGGGCTGACATCAGTTAAAGGAACATTGGAAACCTGGGAGCACTGAACAGCTGTTTCGTCCTTGTGCTCGAAGAAACCAATCGTCCCTAGTCGACTAATTTGACCTAAGAGTCTGACTTCACAGCCGTTTCAAGAGATATGGTAGACTAAAACAATTTGTCTAATTAGATCATTAGGATCTTTCAGCCTACGATGCCTGTTCTTAAGTTAGTTTGTGGGTTTTAATGACACTCTAATCCCAAGCTTATTTAAAACTGTTCGTAACACTTTTACGGTGGCTTCCTTTTATGATAAAACTGTAGAAGTTTTTAATTGTCTTCACAATACTACCACTATTATTATTATTACCAACACCTGTGTTATCACTATTGGTCACTGTTTTTTTGCAGTAACTAATGGATTGGTTGAATAACTTAGAAGGGTAATTATATATGCGTAAGGTGTCCTTGGAGTTTACGATTTCTCTTCTTTGATCGTCTGTCTTATTACTAAGTTTCCTGACCTTGTTGTCCACACACTGCACTAAGCCTACTTCAATTGACTTAGATAATTTAAAGTCTGAGTAACTATTTGACTGTGAAAGTACCCTATAGATACTAATATTTAAACTTCTATTCTGTTTTTATTTTATTCTAGAGTCCAAAATCACTAGATCACTGTCACCACTTTCTAATTCATATGTAAATTGGACTACATTCACTAATGGATTGATTTGTGTAAATAAACTAAGTGTTCCGATTTCAGTACTTTGAATGTGTAGTCAGACAGACAGACAGATAAAAACAACGTAGATACTCACATTCATGTCCATCATTTCAATTTCTCACACTTGACCGTAGTACAAAAAGACAGGTACATAAAACAAGAATAATACCGAAGTGAACAAAGTTAATGTGAGAGAATAAGCAATTTGAAGATTAGGGTCAGTGCGAATATTCAAGCTTTAGAAGACATTAAAGAGTAAATGGTTCTGCGACACTGTGACCAATTTCCAGCCTTGTCATCAAGAGTTCTCAACTATGGGTTCCTTTCACTTTGAGGACCCCAACCAGGTAGTCTACATCTCCCCACACGACTCGGACCAACAGTGAGAGACTTCACTGACTATTATCACATATTGGTCTGGTCAACCTGAACCCTTTTTCAGCCTAATCCAATATCCCCTAGCATAGCAAATCGAGATAAGCGTTGGCTCAGTATGCGCTACATATGTCCAAGTCATCTCAGTCGACTAAAGTTTTGACAAATTCATCAGTGGACTCGCCTATATTGCCTAGTACTCTTCGCCATATCTCAACATTGCTCATATAGTGATTCCACCAATCGAGAGCAGTGCTACGAAGATACCTGTGATCTAAGCCCTGCAACCACTTCATGTTTCCACTTTTAATGGCCATGTTTTACAGCCGTATAGCAGAACAAAATGAACTGCAGGGTAGTATAATGGTTCTTTGATAAATAGTCGGATGTCTTGCTAGTCGGTGCCAAATATGATGCAAGTTGACGAATGCCAAACAGATCCTGTGTATCCGAGCTGAGATTTAGTCAACAACTAGCCCGTCCATAAGTGAAGTGATTAACATAATCTACCACTTCACTCCTTATCATTAAACTGGTAGTGGTTGCGGAGCAGTCCTAGAGTATCATCTTACATTTGACAGGTGTGAAGTGAGTGCCAGTCAAACATACTCAGATTTCTGCTGACGTGTTCAGAAGGCCCTACATTGGGTTGGCATTCTTAGTGGTTCATAAATATCTCTGCTATACTGGGGACATTGGTAATCCCTTGGTAACTCATTCAGTTTGTTTATGTATTTTGTTCTTAAACTTAAAGACTGTAGAATTGGGGTATATGTGTACTCCTAAGAAGATCTTCTCTTCTGATAATTTAGTTTTCAGCATAAGCTCATGGTCATTCGGCTCATTTTTAACTGCCTTCATACACGTACCAATTTGCATGTTAGTACAAGAAACAGGTACAGCAAAGTTAGTCAAACACATGATAGCCAGACAACAGATAGATATGGTGCCACAGTGGCTTAATAGATAACGCTTTGGCGTTTGAAGCAATGGGTACTGGTTTAGAATCTCAGTGGGAACAACATCACTGGTGAGTCACTAATAAGACAAAAAACCAGTCCTTGATTTCTCTGCTGGTCACCAAGGTGAATATAATATCATGAATATTTGGCATTATTGAGGCTTTAGCATAAAAGCCCATCTGTCAACAGATGTCGAGAAATTCAGCGCTGTATAGCAACGGAAAATTACAAGTATCATAACGATAATACTAAGTCCTCGTTTGCTTCTTAAACCATATCTATAGCAGTATCCATTGGTTTCCTCGTACGATTCTATCTTATTGTGTTTTGTCTGACTTTCTGAAACGAACCAGATTTATTTAACACTACTGTTGAGTTGCTTTTGTGTGATTTCGTAATCACCATATTGTTATCCTGAAGGTTCTTTAAAGCTTCTGCCTCTGTTTTTAGTTAATTCTGTTTCGTTTTTTTCTGTCAGTTTGTGTCACTGAATACTTTGCCCACAAGCCATCTGCGAATGTCTTACCTACTGGAGTCGAAATTATTTCAGTTTCAGGAATGGCATTTTCTGGTTTCCATTCCATTAAATCTAAGTAGCTTCCCTAACACTTTTACTTCTGTTGACTTTAAAACTCTAGTTGAGTGGTTGATAACCTCCTTTGTTCTATGGATTACTAGCGATCTTTTGCCAATAGAAACCTCTTTATTCTCAACTGGATACTTTTTTCCATTTGTTTGCTGAACTTCTTTATTTGAATATTCTTGAATTTTCAAAACGTGTTTAGTGATCTTTATAATCTTTTTCCACGAACTGTTTGCATCAGTTATTATTGGAGTTCTTCGAAATAACCATGGATGCTGTGAAACTTCTTGGATATTCTAGAAACCCTATCATTTCAACAGAGTTTGTTATCATGTTCCATTGTTGCTGTAATCATGTCTGTTGAAACTGCAGCGCGTGAACGTAGATATTTCAGAGTAATATGGTTTTAGAGATATTGAATATTTGGTATAAGAAGAATTTCTCAGACGGGAGGGAACCTTACAAACCATGTTTATGGGTTTAAGAGAAAATATGATTTTTAGGATACCTATTTTAACTCCTAAGATATTGTAAGAATACATAGATGACACATTTACAGTACTGAAATTGAAACGCATAGGTTCTTGACGCATATCGACTCAGTATTGAGTACAGTACAGTTCACCCATGAATTATAAAATAAATAGATGGGAATTCAATGTATTGGGTTACAAATTAAAACGAAGAACAAATTCTGCTGCATATACGTCCATTCACACATAACCCAAAAACGGTTACAAGTATCTTAATTTCAGGTCATCTCATCCAAAGTTGGTTAAAATGCGTTTAGTGAAATATTTAAATAATACAGCTGGAAAACTCAACGTTGAATTAAAAGAACCGGAAAAAATGACTGAAAAACATTTAAAGGGAACATTGTTATTCAATATTTATACACTGAAATCATGAAATTCGTAAGAACATGTAAGGAAGAAAGTAGTAGCAGTAGGAACTCTATGAATAGTATCGACAACAACAGAAAAAGGCTCAAGGATTCAACCTTGTCACCAAATAAAGAAGTAACATCAGCGACTTTACTTCGAATTCTTATGCAGGTCGGAATTAAGGTGACATTCAAACCCCCGAACTCACTCAGAGATAAACTCTGTCGGCTCATTAAACCAATTGATCCGAATAGATAGGAGGATTTGATCTAACAAACAAAATGAAATGACTGTGGGATTTGATGAATAATCCAAACAAACTGATCGGCGTCAGCCAGCTCACTGCAGTATAGAAACCTGACCAAATGTAAAATGATAGACACCACTTGAACCAATCATCTAAAAAAACTAAGCTATTGCAGTGTATGCTCTGACAAACAATGGTGTAACAGGATGGAGTAAATCAACTGAAATAAAGTCAAATATGGTTAGATGGAGAGATGGATTGACTACCGAATCTTCGTTCATCGAATCAACATCCAAGACATATGGGAGGGATGGTGCAACGCCTATTTTAGAAATTTGGAGAATTTTATTATCAGTTAAAAAGTGAACACTAGGTGTTGGAACCATGGAAACCAGATGTTGGTAGTTGCGTGACCACCTCAACACGATAATGAGCAGTAATTTCTGCTCGAAATATCATCAAGTAAATAATACTGGATCATTGTGTGCTATATCCAATAAACAATTTTAGTGTAGGATTTTTTAATTTGATACCTCTGAGTGGTTAAGTCTGATAAGCTGGATCAGTGCGTAATTAATTGTGAAACTTTCATATGCGGGAGAAATTTAATTTTTTAGTACAACACTTATATCACTCACTCTCTCTGTATATATATATATATATATATATATATATATATATATATATATATATATATATATATATATATATATATATATATATGAAATGCACTGATGAACAAACTATCCTAACAAAACAACTTGAAATGAAGCGGGCAGGACTGACTTTGAATAGATGGCCATAATTTCGACAGTTGAGAAAATAAATTATTGTTCAACAACCGAAAATTAGAGTAGTCCGTTTTATGCGGCAGACCCTATCGTAATAGGGTGGATAGTGCTGCGCATTCACTGTTCACTTGCTCAAGGTATCAGCATTATTGCAGTGCTAGTGGGTGTCATTTTCAAGGATTTGGCCAGTCTACTAAATAGCCAGGTACTGCAGTATTGCATGAATAAAGCCGTTTACGTTTTTTAATAAACCGACTTTGGCTGAACTAGTGAGATAGTTGCTACAGAAATGTATAGTAAACAGTTTTGGAATTTTGAAACTGACATTTGAAGGCAAACACAACCAGCTAGAGTTAAGAAGTTCTTCTGATGAAGATGGCAAATCTTATTGTGTTTGTTCTGTGGTTCTGATGTTTGTCTTTTTAATTTCTTCACACTGACACAATGATTATGAATTCAGTCTAGTATTCATTAACTGAACTTATAAGTGGATTAGTTACCTCCAAGAGTTTTTGATTCCTTATAGATTATTTGCAGAGCAGCAGTACTGCTTCCTGTTTCTGCTACAGGTTTCATTTGTAAGTAACTACCTTATGCATCAAATATCCGTTAGTTAGTAACCAGCTATTTTGTATTTGACATTATTAGTATTAGCCGGCGGTTATATGTCAATCTTAATATCTATAATGACTCAGTGTATTCGATCGACAAGTAATAGTTGTGACGTATTTTTGTAGTATAAATACCTTGATTATAATTATTTTTGAAAGGAAGCTCCAGTTATCACTGGATTTGAAGTCGCAACCTATGGATTTTTAGTTCAGTGGTTTATGAAATGAGCTGAAAATGAATTGAAAATTCACTTCAATTGTTAATTTTTGCAGCTCGAAGTTTTGGGAATTCGGTACTTGAAGGCAAAGTTATTGTAGCTAAAATATTATGGTTCTTATTAGCAATATTCCAAAAATCAGCTGTGTAAACGCAATTTTTCTCAAGGCCTCCTTTCATTTTCAGTCAACATCTGATCTATAAATAGCAGGTTCTTCATATTGCATATATCAGGCCGAAGTTATTGTTAAATTCTTCCACTGTGGTAACATTTACAGTAGACTTAAATTATCTTAAGAAATTAAACACATCGAGATTTTTAATCGATCCTAAATATTTTGATAAATTACCGTGTCAACAAAATCGGTGTGTGTTTAAAGTATGACTATGCTTTGCAAGCTGTATCAAAATTGCTCTTCCTTCTGGATTCAGTGTTTCTACAGCTCACTTTACTCGTGAAGTTTATCTCCTGTTCAAAAATGAATGATCTTGAAGTTTCATGGACCTGTTTAGTTAACACTCATATAAGAATTGTTTAAAACGTGGTTACTACTGAATGTTGATGTTGATGCTAATATTCTTCACTATACTAATGCAGTAAACAGAAATAAACTACAGAATAATCTTTCAGATTATGCTAGCTTTGTATTAATGATGGATAGTGGCTGGCAGCGGAATCCAAGGTGCGTTTTTCGTCCTGTTTATGTTTCTTCAGCTGGATGTACCTGCCTCCTAGTGAGGGCTCACTGAGATTCCGTTGCTGGCCACTATACATCACTAATATAAGACTGAAACACAGGCAGAATCAAGGCATCGGCGCAGAAGCTCATATGCCAGTAGAGGCCGGTCACCTTTGTTCAATCAACAACAGGATTATGCAAGTTATAACATTAAGCTAACTTTGGTCTTTACTTATTCTCGTGATAGGAGCAATTTGTGCAAAGTACAAACTCCGGTGTTGTCTTTTGGACAACGGTGTTTCAAGCTGTCATAAAGCGGAAGATAGAAGGTAGTGAAGTTTAGACATTCTAGAAGTATCCACGTGATGAATGCATTTTGCGAATACTTTTATTTCAAGATATAAAAGTCAATGATACTGAAGCGTATGTCACTTATTTCCTACGCAACATGTTAATCATTAGTGTGAGGCAAATCGAATCTACTTATCAACATAGAAAAGTAATGTGAGGTACATAGGTGTTCATATTTCAGTTCTATTTAATTAAACAAAAAAAAGATGGTAAGTAAATTTTTCTTGTGCTTTACCTGCTGCTATAGAACATTTCTGTTCATTAGAGTGAAATTTGACCAGCAATTTCACTTCCGGTAATTAGTTCAGTCTACATGGAAAATCTATTGGTTATTTTTTAGCAAACCAAGTGATGCTCTACTGTATTTACTAACTCAAGCGATAATCCCGAATGCGTGTAAGATTTCTGGTATTATTTATCAAGATCTTGAAAAATCGAAAGATATCCTTTCATATTTGCAACCATTTCACCAAGCTTATCGATTCTTCGTACGGATCAAAAGAAGGGTAAGTAATGCCTTCAGAATTTGTTTAAAAGAAAAAAATAATGATTTTAGGCCACCTGACAAATATATTCATGAATATGGGAGTCTCAACTCGTATCTGAACAAACTATGATTCACGATTGACCTAGAATCACTCGTCTTTATGTCGGTCAATCATCTCTTTCACCAAATTTCCATCTGTTTCCATCTATTTTCCTTTCGATTACAAAGAGAAGTAATAACTGGATAACTATTATGATAAAATGTGAATAGTCTAAAGTCTCCACCTTAAATGTAGTAATTAAGTTGGTGGGTTGGAGAGATTTATTGATGTGGAAGTAATTTTTGGCACTTACTGACATCAGTTAGAGAAAAATTGAGAAGCCTGGGGATACTAAGTAGCTGTCCCGTCCTAGCACATGACCCCTCAACAGTGTGCACCCTCTCAACCATAGGTTGAGTACATGACTCTTATGCCACATAACAAGCACGTTATCATTTAGCTGTTGGGTTTGAATCCATTGGTTCATTCTTTTCTACTTCTATTGATTCACAGCATAACGCCAACAGAGAACAAGGCATGATCATAGTTTAAATTATTAATTACCAGCTAGTCTGTGACAAACTAAAAAGTGGTGGTGAGTTAAGACCGTAACTATACATTAAAACTATCTTATGTGGATCGATAACCTAGTGAATTCTTGTTTTTCTTTGATCACTAGAATGTATCAAATGCTATCGTCTACTGGATTGTTCTCCAGCTTAAAAGATGGGTAAGGCTTCTTCTCATTAGAAAACACTATAAGATCACATTCAGTCACTGATTACTTGTGAAGTTAAAAAATAACTAAAACGCGAACGAAACTCAGTTTTTTCTATACGAAGCAATAGTTTAGATAATTATTAACATTTTCGTTTACAAACTTGTACTTTTCTGTTTTGTAAAGCCGACTTGTACTTTGAATTCTACATCCAACTCGTATTGGTTTCTGACGCTATGTTGCATTTATTTGGTAAGGTAATAAAGTTAACAGCCTACATCTAGCTTGATGCACGCTGAAACTTCAGACCGTGATGATAAGCAATTGCTGTTTGGATCTTGGAATACACTAGATTAAATTTAATAGTATGTATAGAGAATTTCGGTCCAGTTTGTGTATATAATAACTATAACATACAATCTAAATCGCTCATTTAAAGTTGTACCACTAAGGTAAATCCTAGAGAAAGTAAACATTACAAAAAACTATTGAATGTCATATATTGTGACACTAAATATTTTCTCTGAAATAAATTGGTCTTTTCTTCTAATTCTTAGTTTCAGAAGGCAGTACTACCACCACCATACACTATAACGATGAGAACTTTTCTCTTTATCCTCAAGGTAATACATTATCTAGTGATGTTCAGTAGTGAATATTGAAGCATTTGCAGTTGCTTATATCACTTATGAAGTTTTTAAAATATGTACTTAACAAATAAGTTAAAATGGAATATAAATCGTGGCTTTTTAAAAGATTACACCGTGTTGTCTTAGTTTTTAACATGTCTCATTGTGAAGTGGTTGTGTATCTCACGAACATTTGTCGCCAAAACTATAGGTTTAAAAGATATTTTCTTGCAAATAACCGAAACATAAGTTGTAAACACTTACAATGCAAATCCCACAGAAACTCATCGTTCACACTTTGTGTGAAATATTTTGATGGCAATTCATCATACTCATGAAATTTAACGAAATGTGGAATAACAGACCCTACCAAGATAAGTAATTTAAAGGGAAATTCATTTATCTTTCTGTATACACTAAGTCACACCAGAAGATGACAGTCTTAGCATCTGATACACCTCAGTGAAGTGACAGGTTAACTACAGAATCTTTATTAATAGAATCACATGTAACAGTAACGATTCATCGCACATTGCAGATATTCGGAAAATTGTACTACCAATAAAATAAAAGAATAAAGAGCTATTGAACTGAAAAAAGGAAGTCTGAGAGTTATGCAATTACTTTGATATAACTAAGAGCAAAAATTCTCGTCAAAACATCAAAAAAATAATGTAAGGTAAAATTACACTCCACTACAGTGTCTAAGTTTAACTCTTGAACTAAAGTATTATATTTTTCCTTATTCTAAATAATTAAAGTTTTCTTTACGTAAAGTTCATGAAAGCTTAAATACTCGCTGACACGAGGTATCTAAGTGAAAGTTAACATTTTGAGTTATTACTTTCTGAGGTAGAAGTTTCCATGCTTCACAGTTTGATTTTTTCTAATCCCTACTTCCAATCACTCTGTTGTGCAGTACGATGCTTGGTTAAGACGTTCTACAGCTTTCTACCGCAGTATGCTAGCAGTCACAAGCCCATAACTTAGTGAATTTTCGTTATCTTACGAGGCAGACATTGTTTGTTACTGATCTGTTTATTTAGCACTTTTTGTATCATAGCTTGCATTTCATTTAACGTAGTCACTTCTTTTTCACTTCTTAAACATAAATAGTTTTAACGACCACTATTGGTTTAAGTCCATATGTTGTTTCATTGTGCCTTCATGACATCACTGACTTCTTTGTGGCAAGAAAACTTTAAATTACATCTCCTTTAGGCTGGTAAAACTCAGTTTGGTTAGACAGAAGCTGTGGTATTTTATCAAGGTATTTACAATGACTGCTGAGAATGATTCTTCCTTCTTCACTAAGGCAGTTAAGGATTGTGTTTAAGATCTATTTTCTCAGCTTAGGCTGTTCAGTATGACCCTTAGGTAGAAAATAATTAGGACGGAATTATAAAGTACTGAACTGTCAACGATAATGCTGGAATTTCGGTGAAGAAATATGAATGAGATCAGAGGTCTGACTCATTGAATATCCAAATTTATTTCCAAATTGTACTTACATCAACAGCTTCAAAATAAATTCAATGGTGAAAGAAATATCCACTAAATTTCTTGTTTTGGGATAAATATACTTGTGAAATAGTCGAAAAGATTCACAGCTTAGGATGGGGATGATAACTGTTTGGTGTTCTCCTATCCTCGAGATTTTTTCTTGGACGCTTCATCACCAGGTTAGGAGACTTTATCGACATTTATTTCATGAAGAAATGAAAATTTTTAAGTTGCACGAGTGTTTGCCCAGAATATTTACCACGCGTGAGCGTTATCTTCTTATGAGTAGGGGTGTTTGCCTTCATTTTTTCAAGGGCTGACCTGTTGTTTTCATTTGACCTACGCTTTCAACATAATGTCTGATTATTGATTTGCTGAATCCGTTTCTAGTTGCTTAATCGCTCCTTAATAGTTTATCAGGTCACTGTTGGGACGAGTATCTTTTGACTGGAGTACCATACTACCAGGAATTTTCTCATGGTTCTTGAGCCTGCTTATTACAGTATTTCCACGTTGTCTCAATTGATATTTTGGCTATGCTTATCTAGATGCACCGATATCAATGAGAATATATCACGCGGTTTTACTGCATGCTGATGATCACAATTTGTTTTGGCGTAGTCGACAACCTGATTGATCACCTTGGTGATGCTGCCACTACTTGCAACTAGTTTCACAGATTATATTGATCTTATCTTCTTTGGGTAATGGGTCCTTTAGCTTGTATAAAATGTTTCTCAGGGATTTGTCTGTTTTGCGCTTCACAACAATGCATAATAGGTGAAGTAGTCGGTTGAAAGTTTCTGCAAAATCTCTGATATATGGTAGGGTGACTCTTAGACTTTATTTTTCTGATGTGTGTTGTGTCGTAGGCATTTCTTGATATAATTGACTGGATATTCATTAACTATGAACACTTTGTGAAGGTGATTTCCTTCCGACTCACGCAGTTGTTAAGTGCTGAAATCAGTCTTGGTGCATACAACTAGTGCCTGTACACAACTCTTCTTATGAGACATCGGGTTGTTGCTGTTGTATTTCAAAACCTAACCTATATGTGTGTCACTTTCCTGTCCACTTAAGTCGCAGTTTCCATGAGAGGTCCTACTGATGAAAAAACTTATAAAAGTGGTTTTGTTACTTTCTTCTTTTGTGACCTGAATACCACTAAAAGTTTGGTTTATTAGATTGAACATGTTTTCCGATTCACTTGTTTTGATATTTTGTAAATTTCATTGAAATTTTCAATTTAATGATTTAAACTGAAAAACAGGTTGAACGAAGAAATATTTCTTTTCACTTGGGTCTTCGTCATCCCTCACCCATACTAATATATAACTTTTTACACTTAACAATATAATTTCATTTAGTGATGATGGTTCAATCAACTAAAATAATTGCAAACTGAAAGTTACTCATGACCAGTATCTATTAATTGTGCTAGCCGTTTGCCTTCTATTATTTTTGTACAACCCTTACTCAGCTATGCTGGATTGTGTTAAGATATTTTATGATGGATTTGCCTAATTGTACGCCTTATATAACTAGCTCCACAGGAGCAGGTAAATAATTGAGTGCACATAGAAAAGGCAGAATCAAGAAGTCTATCTCTATATCCTGCACCTAAAATCGGGGAACTGTAGAAGATACGACAATACTTTGCGGGACTGAACGTTCTCTGAGAAGCTCTTCTTAAATACTGCGTTATAACCTCCTTCAGTTCAATTTTCACGAAAACAGGTTTCTTACAGATTGCAATCATCTTTGACTTAACTTTCGTTTCTTTAATTATCTTGGTCATAAATTTGGCAGGATATCCATCCTTACTAAGCAGGTTACGCATAATGTTAAGCTTCTCTTCTATAGTGTCATCAAAGCAAATGCTGTTTCCACGATGAACCAAACATTTCACCAGGTTTCATTTAGATCTCACGGGCAAAGAGCTATAAAAGCGAGTGTACTGACTTTTCAATGTTCACTTTCTGTACACGCTGCAATTGATCGTCCTATCTAGTCTTCTTGACACGGAGATGTCTGCAAAAGATATGCAGTCATGTCGCTCTTCTCATACTGGGAAGATTATAGCTGGATGGATGCTAACAAATTTATCGGTAGTAGCATTCTTATCAGCCTCATTTCGGAGAACTAAAAACGCATCATCCACGTAACGTGCATAAAACTGATGATTAAATTCTTTAGATAAAGTGAATGGTGGTGTTCCCGGTAAAAGCAGTGGAGAGTATTCACAGCTCAAGAGAATGGTTTAAACTTTATTGCATTCTCCAAGTTCTGTGGCTTGATTGTGAAGCTTTTATTTTCATTCTAGATAACATCATCAGCACAAACTTCAGAAAGAAGTTAGTTATGAAGAATTCTCGACAAGTGGCTTGATCATTTTTCCTGATAACCTTGGATGTGATTGATTGCTTCTGCTATAATATTGTCACTATTTGCACCCGAACTCCGACCTTTTTGGTACTTCTCGTTATTGGTATTGGCTGACAGGTTAAGTAAATTTAATGTGCTTATTGATCTCTAATTGGCCTCATCATCAAGTTTCTAAAACGTCTCGGTATTCTTTGCATTTCCTGTATTCAAGATTTCCATATTTTCCTAGTTCAATACATAGCCTAAATTGTCTCCATGTACTGAAGTGTGTGACTATATACCGTCATACTTCTCTGCTAGTGGAGGTTCATGTAGGCAAATATGTAGAGGGTGGCCACTCACATCCTACATAGCGTTTCTTCTCAACGACTGGAGTTTTTTTGTAGATAATATTCAATTTTTCTTTGTCATCTTCAATATTTAGCTGCATAACATGGACTGAATATATTTTGTAAGTTTGTGTACTACTTCAATTCCCAGTTATCTAGAACACCAAAGAAAGTCTGATAATTAAACCATCCAGTTTAGATAACACATCAGTGTCAAGGTATTTATCCGTTGATAACCCCTTTACATTATATTTTTACAGGATTTTAATTTGTTCGATCGAAAACTTACCGCAAGCGATGTTGTTGAAGCACTGTGTAAAAGTAATCCAGTGTCTGGTACAATAGATGAATATAACGCTGATACAGAGGTGGGTCAGACATATATTATAATTACACCCAAGAGAAAATAACTGAAGTATGTAGTGAATACTTAATTGCTTCAAAAATGACTTTACCTCTATAAAATGGTTTTTGAATCAGGACTTAAACACGTAATGCTCTACCATGACAGTGAGTAAAAAGAAGCACTACACTTTGTCGATGACCTCCAATGACCTAAACTGAAGTGATGATCAAAAATAGGTAACCATTGGTTAGCTGTCATCAAAAGGCCAGGGTAACTGGGTTTGTTGTGGTGCGAATGTATTCACCCAACACAATTCTACCTCTTATGTAAGGAACAGACAGTATCAACAAACAACCTATAGCATTTACTCCGCAGCGATTTAAGTTGCTACACCTCATTTCAACAAATTAAGCGAGAACGCATCAAGGTGAAAAACAGAGAAATAAAGAAGAACTCAGTCAGAAGTGGTAGAAAGCCTTGAAAAGAGAGCAAGGAAAAATGAAAAAATACTGAAATTCAGTATGATAATTCAGATGATGTATGGATACATCTGCACCACAGATCGATTCTGAGCCATTCCGTCTAAACTCTATAACTGCTTGTTTCTGTTGTCTCGAGAACCCTGACTAGAAAGTCTACATTTCCCTACACGGCTCAAACCAACAGTCAAGGTTGATGCCATGTTTTAGTCTGACTGTTTCTTAGCTTTTCTCAAAGTGGATCTACCTCAGCAATGATGCAGAAGGTGTGTAACATACGTCCCAGTCACCTCAGTTGATGAATAGGCCAAAATCTAAAATTAGCTATTGTGTTTTAGTTATGTTACAGCATCTACATAAAAAATCACTAAACTAACAAGTAAACATCTCTTGAAAAGTACTGCTCGACACTGGATATTGGAAACAGAATATGAAAAAGTATGAAAGCATATGTGGAATCAATGAATGAATGATTGTCTGTCTTTCTGGAATTTACTCAACGGTTAAACTTAGTCCCCTGTATTACACCTATTGTACTTTACCTCTATCAAAATTGATATTACCAATCTGAAGTTATCTTTAACTCGATTTATGATCTCTCATGTGCTTCTCATAGCGAATACATCTGAAGGGCAGAAAACTAAATGTGTTTGTCAGTACGTTTTGTTTTAACACTAAGCAAAGTTGTAAGGATAATATTCATCAGTCATCAAATAATTTAGATTAACTATGACTTTCTTAATGTGGTTTAATGCCTCAACCATAATTATGTGCATGGGCGTTAACGTGAAGAAGCTCTACGCAGAACGGCTACGTGGTATTGGTGTTTGCACTGCTAGTCAGAAAAAGCGGAGATGGTGTTCCCACCTCTGATTACTGGCTGAGCCTAGTTACACAAAGATCGTGAGGCACCAGATGGCCCTAATGGATACCAATTAATCCACTCTTAGAGTTGACTTAGCGGTGAAGACGATCGACGGGATCCATGTGTACAGATCAGGTGGACGTGTCTCGAAAGCGCGGACGGTCTAGCTAACCGTCAGGATTCTGCCTTGTACATTGGGAGCAGTAGAACCAAAAAGTAAGGGGATCCAGCCTCCTGTTGTTGAAGTAGTCCTCAGGGAAAAGGGCGTAGTTTGCCTTGCGAAAATAAACGGTATTCCATCCGAAATCCCAAGTGTCGTTCACGCCGGGCACATAGGCGGTGTGGGAGGAGCCTCGGTGAGAGGGGGATAGTCCTCCTGGAAGGTGAGGTGTATTTCTTCTGCTAGATTGTGGAGACTCAGTGAGACGGATTCCACGCACGTCTGTCTTTGGACAGGTGAGTGTGGACAAACGATCCGATTACTCGGTGAATGCGGATGCATTGAAGTCCGAAAGTTGAAACGGTTTTGGGATTACACTGATCAGTTTTGAGATGGCGTTAACGGAGTACTCTGGCAGGAGTGTTCTTTTTGATGTAAATGCGTTGCTACAATGTTCCCTGCTTGGTTGGGGGACGGATCGCCCAGAGTTTTGGATAATGACGTCCACGAAGACGAGGTCTAGCCCGGAACTGGGAGCTGAGCCGAGAACTGGAGTAAAACTCTCTCTCTTTGTCAAATCGATTGAAAAACATAGTAGACTGAATGTCAAAGACGAAAGGTAGGAGGTGAATGTGTGAATGATTATGATATGACTTTATATAAAACTAAGTGAAGATTACGTGGGACAACAAATATTAATATCAATCGGACAAAAGGTGGTATAACAGGGATCAGTAGACATGAAAATGTTATAAAGAAATCAAATGGATCGAAATAGAATACAATGAGGAAGAGCTAGATATATGAAACGTGTGACAGAAATGATAAGTAGGTTCAAGATAATGAAAAGGACCGTACAAACTGTTTTTGCCCACATAGTTCTGGTTTAAGATTGTGTATCGGCAAGGCGTTTGGAATTCAAAGTGGGTGTATACGTACACTTTCCGACAAGTTTGATTTGATCTCGTGGATAGCGTCAAATAATGATTGGAGGCTGTATAGTTGGAGTCAATGTTTGAGGACTGATTTGTTTATTCTTCTACACTCTCCTTTGATAACCCATGCTGTAAGGTTTCCTCGAACACAACGGAAAATGTTTCTTGTCGAAAGTCTAATGTAGCTAGTTCCAAAAGAGCTGGTAAACAGATACACATCGAACTGGAAAATTATAGTATCATTTCTTCATCATTAAAAAATTTAAATGTCTACCTACTCCTTCCAAAAGACTTTGAATTAAAGTTTGACAGTTACAAGTGCAGTTACATGAAACTAACTTGACTCGCAACACAGGGTTGATATATCTTCTCTTCGCAAACTAAAACAGTTTAGGAACTGAAACGCCACGATTATTATCTATGAACAGAGAACTCTGATCTTACGTTATTTAGTTCTATGGACTGCAACTATAAGATTTTAGCCTTTATGTTTGCGAAAAGGGATCGTGATATGAATGTAGCCTAACTGTTGTTACGGTACCAATACCCAGTTAAGTAACCTTCTTTTCCCGTATCCATTACTCCTTGGTTTCAACGCAACGTAAATCGTCTTTATCTTTTAGGCGTCTTCAGTTCCTATGTAATATAAGACAATTTTTTCTGCTTCTCTGTAGTTAATTTTGATGTACGTCATCTGTTAAAATGGTTGGATATTGATGGTAATAGCTGTAATTGTTTGATAAATATGAATTCCTACCACCTGTGGCAGATAGCTAGTGTTGGATATTCTTTTGTTGGGTGTAGGTGGCTGCAGACTTCGTTTTTACTCTTTGAACAACCTCGGTAGATAATCTTCAGCAAATTGAAACATAAGCTTCATAGCATACCCAAAATAACCAGTTGCGCAGGAGAATATGAAATAGAAAAACTTATTCGGAGTCGTAGTCATAATTTTAAGACTAGTTGAAATGTGTGTTATGACAAGCAATGTATGATATTTTTAGATATCATAAATGACAAGGCTTTACCCCAGTCGTACATTTTATCATCCTTTAATATATATGAATACGACTATGCAAGCTGTTCGAATGCACTATCATGATACGGTAGCTCAGTTTGATACACCTTTATGTACTGGGTTAAAAGTCATATTTGTTGCGTGATGGCTTACGGAGGCGACCAGCCCGAACACACTAGAGCGGGTATTGTGCACAGAGCTTGTTCTTCCACCAACTTTCAACTCAGTTAAAGAGCTATACAATCAAATGGTTGTCATTATGGATGTTAAGATTTGAGATAAAAACAAATAATAAACACAGACACTAACAAAAACAAATCAGATAAATAATATAAATAAAGAAATGAAAATAAAAGCTTCCTTCCACGAGATACGTAATGCCAAAATTAATTTCGAAACTCGCTCAAACGTTCATCACTTCGAGTTGTACACTTCACAGTAACATACAAAGAACAAGCAAGTACAAATAAACGTAGACAAAGGTGTATGAGAGGAGAGAAATTTGAAGATAAAGGATAGCTCCAAAAACATCAAAGAATGAAAATCGGTACCACTGTAACCAGTTTTCAGCTGTGTCATCCAGGGTCTAAAACCACTGAATCCCATCGTCTCGAGGATCTCAATCAGGCAGTCTACACTTCTTCACATAGCTCAGACCAACAGTCACAGACTTCATAGATTGGTGCAACACCATGGTCACGTCACCGCCTCCAGCCTTATTCCAACATAATACAACTTCTATCACTACTTCACATCGAGGTAGGTGGCGGCTCAACATACGCAACACATGTCCAAGTAACTTCAGTCCCTCAAGATTCACAACCTAGTCGACCCATTTGCCTTTCTCGCATTTTACCATTCGCCCAACCTCGACATTGTCCACACGGTGATTCCACGATGCGCAAGTAGTGCTACGAAGTCATCGATAATCAAAAATCTGTGATCTACTTTCAACAGTCATGTCTCACAGCTGCACAACAGGACAGAACAGCTTGCAGTGCAGTACGCTCGTCCTTTAATAGGTAGTTGGATTCCTCGCCAGTCGGCTCCAGAGATGACGCAAGTTGACAAATGACAAACGGGTCAGTCGTATCCGAGTTGAGAATCCCTCAGCAACTAGTCCGTTCGCGTTTATTGATGCAACTCCCCAAGCGACATATTCAATCGCCTTATTCCCTACCCTAAAAATCAGAATAACTGTAGACCGATACTCGAGTATTATCTTACATTTGACAGGTGCAACATCCCTGCCAGCCAAACATACTCAGATCTCTGCTCAACGTGTTCAGAAGACTATGCATTTTGTCAACGTCTTCGCCTAGCAGGATCACATTCTCTGTGTACTCCAGATCGACCAGATAACCTTTAGTGGGTACAACAATCCCTTTGATGTTATACTTACTTACCTAAGGTTACGTGCATTACCAAAATTAAACAAGAAAGTGACAGTCCGCACCCCTACTGGACACCACTAGTTGCTGTCAACTCTGATGCCAACTCACCATAAGCTCTCACACTGTTACATGACTTCGTGAAGAGAACATACTCAGATCTCTGCTCAATGTTTTCAGAAGACTATGCATTTTTCCAACGTCTTTGTCTAACTGGACGGTATCGTCACTTTCTCCGATTTGAAAACTAACCTGTTAGAGCTAATCAACTCAAAATAAAACACTGATTTAAATTCAAATTAACCAGGCAGTTGTCAATAATGAATAGTTGAATTTTACAAGTAACCAGAAAACAGTGAAGCTGATATCTACACGGTTTATAAGTGTGCATCTATAAGAATCTCAAAATATAGAGAAACTAATTACCGGTATTTGATGTGAGTTAAGGAATATTCACACTATTTAAAATTGTGGTAAATTTTCGCAATGCATGCTAAATGTTTGATGTATTGATATCAATATGAATTTTTCCTTTTATTCATTTCAGCTCACATTTTTTGACTTTTTCGAAGCAGTTATACATTGTGCGTCGGTTTCATTTTTGAAAAAAGATGAACCTTATGAAGAAAAAATGAAACTCAGTGTGATAGATTTGTCTGCAAAACGTAAGATCTTCTTTTCAAATTTTTCAGCAATATAAACTGGGATACTTACATTTGAAGTTCAGGTTTTACTGTCATTATATCGTCTGATATAGTGTGTGTGTGTGTACTTACAGTTGTTCACCTGAAAGCTTGAAGATTTTTCTTGACTGCAGCACTAAAATTGAAGATATTTACGCCGAACCGTGTTATCCTGCAAGTTTATTAGTTTCATACGTACAATTGAAGACTATGTTTGAACGGTCGCAGGCAGATCTCCCTTCAATTCACCAGTCACGCACTAACCAATTTTCTTCAGATGTCTCAAGGAGAGCAGGCTTTTCACGAGGTGAAATTCCGTGAAGTGTCAACCGCCCGTGCGGCTACATTCGCTTCCTCATACCAGTGTCACCTCTCACACATTCACAAGTCTCTCATAATGCAAAAATTGTCAGCGATGAAAGACAACAAAGCACACTGTTTCACTTTGGATACTTCGACGTCCGAACAATGTGCCAAGTCGAAGAGAGGACATCACTCTCCAAAACCTTGATATCTCGACCGATGAATGTATGTCGTGTACGTGAGACACGTATAGAGGACCCAAGTGGGTTCATTCGCCTGACGTCATCTAATCATTGTGGCAAAACCTCAAAATTCACCTTACGAGTATCAGGAGACCCAATGGCTACCTCTGATGGACTCAATAGCGTAGAAAAAGCATTGGTTTGCAGATCAAAGAGTGCACTTCTCGACTGGACACCAGTCAACAGCCGTCCCTATGATGTTTGGCTGAGTGGTTGTGTAAGAACTAGGAAGGTTCGTGAGACTAGGCGATGCCTATTTGTAATCTACACTGAGGTGCACACTGACTGCAGTTCGAATGGTGCGAGGAGGTGGATTCTATGAAAACCTGTAAGTTTTGCTGCATGAAGCAAAATGTCCAGACACATTCATCGTATCCGGTGAACTCAACGCTCAAGTAGGGAAGCTGAGCTAAGCCAATGGGAAGGGGATCCTCGAAGTCTCGTGTAAACTAACTAACAGCGATGATCACCTGTTGTGATTTAGTCTCGACAATCACTTGCTTCTGTCTAGCGCTAACTTCAAGCATAAGGAGAGACAGTGTCTCATGACGTCGGCCGATATCAAACCAACAATGGACACAGATGGGTCATATTACAATGAAGACCGAAAGCGACCTAAATCTAAATAGACAGAGTGTTCGCAACGATCTCGAGCGGTGGTGGGTGGCGAAAGCAAGAGACATGAACCAAGGCATTAACGTGAGTTGACACTCGGCAACTATTTAGGCTTCATAAGAATGACAACAAGAAAGATACGATGGTTAGTGAAGCCATCACCGAAAAGCATGAGAAGCTGATAACGTCTCATGACAGAAGGCTAGAACGTTGATTGGAACGCCTTGAAGCACAGTCCAAGTGGCTTTTAACAATGCTTGAGTTGCCAAGCGCCCATTTGCAACTTGAATGAGATGTAAATGTCAGTTCCCCATCCCTTGTTGAAGGTGAGAGCTTTGTTTATAGGCTGAAAGGATGCGAAATAACAGAACCTGATGGTTTGCCAACAAATGCTTTCAAGGAGTATGGTTGTGAACTTTGGAGCAGAGCGAATAAGGTATTTGGTTATTGAATAGAAATAAAAGGTGGTGCTGTCAGATTGGCCTAATTCCCTGATCATCTCAGTTTATAAGAAGGGAGTGAAGTTTTCTTGTGGCGATCATAGGGGGATTAGTTTGACTGATATTGTGTTCTGGAGGCTAGAGTCCATTGTTATCTGATGCCTACGTGGAGGTCGAGAAGAGTAAACTCGAGAAAACCAGACAGGTTTCAGATGGAGCTGAAGGAGGGTGCATTGATCATATTTTTACTCTCCGTGAGGTTCTGGAACACTGTGATACCTACGAGTCAGTGGCCGAGACTTGCGACATTTGTTGGTGTGAAGGTGGCATTCAACTCTGTTGACCGTGAGGTGTTGTTGGAGTGTCTGACTGTGAAGGGAGTACCGAGCAATTATGTAATGCTAGTGTAAGCTCTCTTCACGAAGTCATGTAACAGTGTGAGAGAATATGGTGAGTTGTCATCAGAATTGGTATCCTACAGTGATGCAAGAATTCTGTGACTATTGGTCTGAGCTATGTGAAGAAGTGTAGACTGCCTGATTGAGATCCTCGAGACGATGGGATTCAGTGGTTTTAGACCCTGGATGACACAGCTGAAAACTGGTTACAGTGGTACCGATTTTCATTCTTTGATGTTTTTGGAGCTATCCTTTATCTTCAAATTTCTCTCCTCTCATACACCTTTGTCTACGTTTATTTGTACTTGCTTGTTCTTTGTATGTTACTGTGAAGTGTACAACTCGAAGTGATGAGCGTCTGTGCGAGGTTTTACTTCAATTTAATTTGTCTGTTTGTTTGACGCTTCGTTGTTACCGTTTCTGGTTTCTTTTTTGTTTCGTTTTATTTTTACTGTACAAAATAACCTTTAATGATAATTAAAATTTTATATACATATGCATTATACTGTTGGCAAGCATATTTTTGTTTATATGTAATTAATATTTTAAGACAAAGATATCCATTTGCGTTAAATTGTAGAACTAGGCATACTTTCGAATAGGTGACTTGTGAGGAACTATTTGGTGATTTGTATTTTAGAGCTTTATCCTGTATTCATACACTTCTTAATGCTTATTTGAGGAACCTGTGTGAAATTCACATTTGCCATACAACCAGCCTTTTAGTGCTGATCATTCTCCATGGTATAAAATAAAACCACAGTGAAACTTAAATAGCTGGTTTTCAAATGCTTTTTGTTTCAAATACTTAGTAATATGTGTTTTTCCAGTGGTTTGCTCAAAAAGGTGAGGTATTCAATCTGATGAGCCTTGAGCTTTACACGAACTGATCACCAGCGAGTAACCGATACCGTGTTACCATCCTTAGTGCTTAGCACAGATTGAAGTCCATCAATCAAGTCTTGGAATGTGATCAGGAAGCGAAGTAACGCAATATCGTAGTGCACGATATTTCGGTATTAGGTGGTTAGATTAAATCGATAAGAAACGCTGGACTTAGGTTTCATATTTATTGGGACCCATCAGCAGGGCGTATCTGCAACCATGAACAGCTCAATTGTTGAGTCACTAACTTCATCACTGAGTGGTGGTTCGAACCACTGAGAGAACACCAGTTTCATCATGTTTACAGATACACCTTGCTGACGACTGCCAATAAGCAATGCTTCCGGCCGACTGACTCCCACCATCTAATACCGAAGTTTTTGCTTTACTAAGCAGTGGAACAATGTGATCTAACAACTTGTCGTGTTTTGTACGCTCTCTTAGTACAGTTTTTAGTACAGTTACTGACTATAATCTTTTTAAAAGATATGGGACTGAACAATCTCAACTAAAATGTTACTTAACTCTGTGTTTCAAAATATTGTAATAAAAACAGAAGCAACAAATGATGAATACAGTCTTATTGTTCAATCAAACAACTGTAATTTACTGCTTCTTTTTTTCGAATAATTTATTCGTGAAGAAAGCAGAAGACTATCCCGTAGACCGAGTACTTCCAGACAATCGAAAACAAATTACAACAAAAAGCTTAAGGAGAAGAAAAGCAAAATGAAAAGAAATATAGATGTTCGAAAATCAAGTATATCACCCGAAGTAAGTTAAGAAGTTACACTTTCGATCATTGAAAAACAGTAATTACTTTAGGATAAATTGATCTAGGTTTGGACTTGTGACCTACCAGTTGGAAATCGAATGCCTAGGCCAATGAGTCGAACTCCACAAGATCATACATCTGGTGATCAGTCCTACAATACGTATCACAGAAACGTCAAACAAATTGTGATATTTAGGGGAATACAATCCATGAAGTCGTTTTCTCTTGATCTGAGCTAAGTAGGAAAGCTCACTAAACATATTCTCCGTTCTAAAAGTGTCAGGAAACAATGGTTAACAACAACCATTGATATGGTCCAAAACCTCTCACAATGGAACAAATGTTTTCTTTCAAGATTTTAGCACCCGTAAGCATTTGATCACTTTATGGATTTTCCTAACCCATTTTCTTTTCCCTGTTCCTAAAAATATGTTTTCCTACTCACAGGAAACGTCAGCTTTCAGTGATATACTTTCGATTAAGGTTTTAAAATCTCATATCTCTTCGCAGAACAAATATGGATAAATGCAGTAAATGATTGATCCCTTTGCCAAAAGCATTCATATTAGTGTCCAGTAAACCGCAACGATAATAATATATGTATGTCTGCACACGTTTTAGTACGTCTACGGTTGGAACTGTTAGTCACTGGAAACCTACTGACTAAGAGACTGCCTGTAGGGTTTCACTTCCTTTTTTTTGTGATATACCACACTTCTTTTCGATTACGAGTCGCCGTTCGACTGGTTAAAGCAACTTTTATGTTTAATTATTTACCTATTGAAGTTTCAGAGTGAAAAACCAGAGAAACAAAATGGATCACCAGAAGAAATTTACAGTCAGGAAGAGCAGTTGCAACAAAACAATTCTGAATTGGGAAAAACGGATGTAACGATTCAAAGTGAAACTGAAAGGTGGGATTTCTATATCAAGAGTTTTGTAGAGAAATTTCTGACTTCAGTTGAAAAACTGCAAATTCAATACAACAGAGTTTACAGTACCGACCAACTAAATGTTTCACCCACCCAACTTTTGATTAGAAGTTAGTGTTGATAGTAACGCACTTTACTGAACGTAACAAAATTTCATTATTGACCTGTCCCAGTTACATTACCAGGCGCCTTTTTCTAACACTAAATCGATAGTTACTTCTTGATTTTAAAAATTGTTGTTACTAATTACATCAACTTGTATTACTTCAGTCTTCAGAAATCATTCCTATATGACCGTCCTTATTACCTTAATGCTACGTTATATTATACTTAGAATGCTACGTAGTAACAGTGTAACAACAACAGCGAAATGTGACAAATCACTTTTTGATACTGATTGTTTAAAAGTGAGATGCAAACCTGTGTCGTAACAAGATTCGAAACAGTAGCCTCCAGGTTACTGAGTTACGAGACCAAGCTGCTGACCATGGTCCTAACTTCACTTCAATCACCAATGGTTTTTCACAGATACCATATTAACTTGCGATATTTAACTTTCGTCCATTGTATTCACACTGGCAGTCCAGTTGAGATCCAGGTTTTTCATTTCACTTCCAGGTATCACTCAGTATCAAGACTTCTGATCTGCTAAAACGTGGCCACCTCAGATAGTCTAACTAATTCTTTGTGCTTCATTTCACAACAACACCACATTTCTTGAAACCAGTTGGTTGCAAACACGAAACCTGCATATAACATCCCATTGATGTGCTTCAAGTAGTTTCTTCACTTGTCAGCTCGAAATATATGTGCATACCATGTGCTAACTCGAGGAGCATGTGGTATCAGCGGCAGGCCTTGGTGGTGTTGGCATCGTAATAAGTGCCAGAGCAGAAGCTGCATTAGTCAACCATATTAAAATCAACCATCATATCTGTGAAACCCAGATTTAGCTGAGAATGAATTCTGTCATCAAATGCATGACCGTCGCTACTGTACGCGCTCGGCATATACCATAGCGCTATCCTGAAATTAAAAGCACTGGTAGGGCACACAGACTCAGAAGAAGGTTATTTAGACAGTCAGTGATGATTAGTCGGTTGCAGTTCATATTGTGTGCATCATTCTATGTCTGCACAGATTCCAACCTATTTCTACATAACACCAACTTATAGCACAACCGTTGCTGTTATGCTACATTGCAGTCTTCCTCTGACACTTAAGTCTGATGCCAAATAGATTATATTACAACCAGCTACGGATACCGTGGGTCTACTCAACACTGCCGCTCCTTCTGAAACACCTGTCTGGACCCTGTTACAGCTTTGGTGTTCTATGAGTTCATCTCGCATTTTGGCGATCATCAAAATCTTAACAGTAAACTGGCTGAAGTCAGTTAACTGGTTGCGCTTAGTATTATACCTAAATATCAAACCAAGTTTAATTCAAAGCTAGCTGTTGAAGCTCCATATCAGATTTGTTTACTTGTCGTAGAACACAGTGATACAATATTATTTATTTGATTTTTCGATCAAAAACTATTTCTCATGATTATATCAGTATGAGAAATATTTTATGCTCGAAACATCATCCAGTAAAGATTACTGTATCACTGTGTGCTATATCAAATAAACAAATCTAATATGGAATTGGATTTTAACATAATGTCCAAGTTTTACGCTTGCACTGGATGTTGAAGATCAAGAAATTAAATATAACTATTGGATGCAATTACAACACTTTATAAAATTAGCGACTAAAGTTGCTTGTGTCTTCGATGAACGTTCTGTCAACAAAAACTGAGTCATTGTGATGAGCTATTTGCAAATTTTCGACACTCGGTGTCTGACAGCAAACAATGAGTACAATGGTGTGCCTAAGGATTGGTGGTCAGAACGCATGAGTAAAATTGAAGTACCAGCTGCATCTTGCTTTAAACGGGGATTACTGCAGCTCATCCGAGTCACTGGCAGCAAAATATTGTGTCACTGGGATGATTTATGAAGTAGATTGCACGCTGATCCGCAACCTTTGCAGAGATCTGGAACACTAAATGCATCACCTCAAAAACAAAAGTAACTGGTCTACTACTGAAGCGATATAAACTTTAGCGTCTTTGGTTCCACCGTCAGTTAACAGCCACTCACCAAACGAAGCGCATGTCTGCACAGAACGCCAAGTACTAATGCACTACAATTCACCTTGGGCATCGAACTAACCCCCTGCTGTTTTCAAACCAGCGGTGAGTTCGCGTAGAGTTTCTCTATTTGGTAATTCCTCTTAGACTTTCCCAGTGATGATATTCATGAAATAACCCTAAAGAAGATGTGTGATAGTGGTAAAGACGGATATCCAGGTGGAAGACGTTTCAACCTGAAATATTTGGACGACACCGTTTTATTGTGACAGTTTATGAACTAATAAAACCGCATTAATTTAGTCATTAATCATTGTCAATAAGTATGGTATGTACATAATACTATTGAAATGCAAAGTGATTCTACAAGATTGACAGGAGCTATGTTGCAACGACAAATGCCTTGATGACATCAAAATATGAAACCTTAACCCAATCACGTCTTTCTGAGTTTCTACATGTATCAAAAGCTGAGTATCTTAGCACCTGCTATGCTTTAGCTACGTCCGATAATCACCAACTGAACTCCATACAAACGAGAAATTAACAGTGTTTAAAGTACCAGTCTTTCTTTGCCTCCCGAATGAAAATTACTCACTGTCCTTGTATTCATATGTCCTGCGTCATGAATATGTATAACTGAAATACATGTCCTCGACGCACTACAATTACTAAAAGTGAAGTGCGGGGTTCCACACACAAATTAGTATAACCAGTCTCAGTTAACATCCACCTTATTTCGTAACCTTAATTCACACAGGATTGACTGAAGAATCAATAAACGGTTCTTCAGTTGAGATTTACAATAATGTAGTTAAATAAGTCCTGCAAAATAATACGGGTGGTAAAGCTTTCGATATTCCGTCTTTAATTTACTTGGTTCGTTACAACATCTTGTAACTGCGCTTACCCCTGGCGATGAGGTGATAAAAGATGCCGAAAAATTTAGTACCTGGGTAGTTTAACCAGTGCTAGTTGAATGGTGTGAATGAAATTTTCAACTACATATCAAAATGCACCAACCAGATTCACACATGGTGCCGTTAAACTGTCCTTTAAAGGTAGAGAGTAAGGCCCGTTGGTTCGAACAGTTCTACCCTACACCTTTAGAACGTGACTTCTCGGAACAAAGTTCCACCACCCTCTCTTCTGTAGCACTGGTTATATCCAGTAAAAATACCGTGTAAGTAATTCTGAGATGAGACAGGACGTGTTCGAAACACAGGCTTCGTTGGATATGTATCACTAATGTCATCCTAATAGTAATTACGCATTCAAATACTCGTTTGTCATAGGACTGGTCTGAAGAAGAAGAAAGGTGTTCAAGGTATGAGGTAGTCCCATCGGATAAAGGATAGTTGTGTTAGCATCTGGAGGCACCTCTCGAAACTCCGGGTATAATTTTAGAGACTAACCAACTCAGTAGCCTGAGCTGATGGTAGACATAACTTAGAATCGGAACCAAAGGTGATAATGCTGCAAATTTTCTGTCTATCCCATACACCAAAAGTTAAACAAAATTAATGAGGGTGTCTCCTTGCTAACCCACTTCTTTTTGTTTCCGTAATTGGATTTTCCTCTTTCGGTATCACGTTCTCGTCTTCTTAAAGTCATCAAATGTTTTTGAAGACAGAATCTCTTGGTTCTCCAGTCGCAACACGTCCCATGTATGGAGTTGCTTTCCTGACGAAGTAGCACAAAGCACGACCTATGCTACGAAGGTGATGGTTGCGTTTCCATGTCCACTGCATTTAATGTCGTATCAAAGCCAGAACAGAAGGAACAGATGAGCAGTACACTCGACTACTAGTATCCAGTCAATTATCAAGGTTTCAGTTAGCGTAGGTTAACAAAAGGAGGTAGAGCTCCTTTTTATCCGAGCAGAGATTTTGTAAGTCATCGACCAGCGCTGCTCCGACTTCTTAAAGAAATGAAGTGATCCACTCACACAACTTCCTTACCTATAGCTAGACGAGGTATAAATATAGGCCAATCTTAAAGCAACAATTTGCACTTTTTATCGTGAGGAATGAATCCCAAACATCAAGTCATCCTTCAAATTATCCGCAATACCCCGCATGTTCATTTAACGAAACTTTTGCATCTTGGTAGTATAGTGTTCTCTGAGCAGAGTTGGTCAGCAAGAAAGCCTTCGTAGTCTATCTAGACGAAATCTTCAGCACTAAATTCACACTAAAGTTAATGAGGCTACTTGACTTCGAGAAGAGAGCTTTCATTAGCGTTACATAATTGCTCGGTACTCCCTTCACAGTCAGACACTCCAACAACACCTCACGGTCAACAGAGTTGAATGCCACCTTCACACCAACAAATGTCGCAAGTCTCGGCCACTGACTCGTAGGTATCACAGTGTTCCAGAACCTCACGGAGAGTAAAAATATGATCAATGCACCCTCCTTCAGCTCCATCTGAAACCTGTCTGGTTTTCTCGAGTTTACTCTTCTCGACCTCCACGTAGGCATCAGATAACAATGGACTCTAGCCTCCAGAACACAATATCAGTCAAACTAATCCCCCTATGATCGCCACAAGAAAACTTCACTCCCTTCTTATAAACTGAGATGATCAGGGAATTAGGCCAATCTGACAGCACCACCTTTTATTTCTATTCAATA